GTAGCACTACCTTTCACAGAATACCAAAATCACATCCTGAGATCATCTAGTCCAATCTCCTTTCTCAAGCAGGGACACCTGCAGCAGATGTCCAGGACAGTGTTCAGTTGGGTTTGGAGTATCTCCACACATGGAGACTCTACTGGGCAACCTGTTCCAGTGTTTGAGGACCCATTTCAAGTATATTGCATTTTCAACATTTTTCCATTTCTTTCTTAATTTCCTCCTAATCATGTGGTTTGGCTAAAGGGCACACTGGGACCACAGTCCAAGTTGGTAAGTTTCAGCTCTTGATCAGTAGCTTTGACTGACAGCTCTTGCCAAAAAATAGCAGTCTGATGGGCTCATACAACACGAGTTGGTTGCCTTTATCGAGATAATTTTAAAGGCAAAAAAGTACCCACTCCAAACCTATAATTAAAAGAAACATCACTTTAGTAGCATGAAGGGTCTAAAATAGACAGTTTTCACTTCGAGGTTGAGGTTGAATTGACGAACAACCTAGGGAAAACCATATCTGCTGCAACTCCCATGAGTACATAATACTATGATAAAAAAGAGAATTCAGACCCATGGTATGTCAGTTACTACTGTTTGAAACAGCTGTCTTTAAAAGTTTAAGTAATATACAATTAATTATATGCTAACGCAATAAAGGAATATAAATTTCTAGGCTACTGAGGGAGAGAAAAAGTATTTCTTTTAGCAGAATGCAGTAATTCATAGAGACAGCCTTTATTCAAAGTGACCTGGACAGTATTATTTCTATTGATAGTCATGTACTGTCCTCAGCTCTGTCTGCACAAGACAGAGTTTAACTTTCTGCTTTGAGGTTCATATATGGTGAAGCACAAAGAGAAACCAGGCACAAAATTACAGTATGCTCTTTACATCTGTGGATCTTGTATATAAATTATCTTTTAAATACAACAAACAATACAAGTCACCCATAGTCAACTTCTCTCAACACTTTTTTTCACAAAACCTCCAGCAAAATTCAGCAAGTTAACCTACAGGGCTCTTGTAGAGCAGACAACCAACACAGCATGTTTTCCCCACTGCAGCAGTAGGATATTGTATTTACCTTAGGGCTATTACCTGAATGAAAAATAACTTGGGTTTGCCTATAAGGCTTTTACACTTGTCTCCTCGGAATAGCGCAGTCAGACTCTTGATAGCCATGGGTCCGTCAGTGCCATAGATGAGGCCTTCTTCCCCATGGCTCAGAAGGATACAGGCAAAACAAGCAGCATCACTGTGATTCTCCTCAGCAGCTACAAATCAAATACTTCTTAGTCAAAAGGAAGCAACACTTTAAATAAAAATTATATTTAGCAAACATTTTTCTGGGGCTAATTATACATTGGGCCTCTACTGGAAGGCATAAGAAGGAGTGGATAAAGATGACACAACCCACTTTTAGTAATGTGATGAGCACCTCGAATGCATCCTTCACCTGACTCTGAATCTAGCCCACTGGAGTCAACAGGCTGGACTCTTTATAAGACAAGTCTCTTCACCTAATACACAGGACAGGCACTTCACCTAATATGACGAGAAAACTGTGTATTTCTGAATTGATGTTGGAGGAAGAGGTAGGGAATTAAGCCTAGTCCATTTGGAAACTGAATCCTTCTATAAAGAAAATTGCATGTAGTGGGGCTCAAGCAATCTGCTCTAATTTGACCTGCTTTGAGCAGGGATTAGATTCGGTGACTTCCAGAGGTCTTTTCCATTTTAAATTATTCTATGATTCTAAATTTTTACCTTTCTTCAGTAATTTTTCCATATCATCACGGCTTCGGTCATTGTATGTGTAAACCTCAAAACCTAAGTTTCTAAAACTCTTAGCCAGATCTCCAGCATCTTTATCAGTGCCATTGCGTGTACCCATTCCTGCCAGAAAACAAAGAATATGGTTGATTGCACATGACACAATTCAAAATAATTCACGTGTTCAAAGGTAAATTTTTAGGTTTATAATTAAAAACCTAAACAATGTCATGGTGACATGATTTTAAAACAATCCTCTAACAGCATTCTTAGCATTGAGAACAAATTGTGAGATTTGTTTTAATGCAAAATAATGCAAGGTTCAATGTAACCACGTATCTTATCCTGAAAAATGTTGGTGTGCCTCCAGCACCTTGCAACATAGGACCTCCATGGATGATTCTATCTCCTTTTGGTTATGCAGTGTAACAAATGTGTAAAATACCTAAAGGAAAAGCTGTTGAAAAGAGTCCCTGTGATACCCACATAAAACACAGCCTTAGACTCTGAGACAAAGCTTCAGTCTGAAGTTGGTAGAGCAAGGTGACACGCTCTTTGAAACATACACTGCAAAGAAGCTGTGAAGAGCCACTCTAATGCAAGTGTTAAAGAACATGAATAAATTGTAGGACCAACTATTTCTCAAAAAAGATAAATATGTTCATTAAAATTCCATGTTCTAAAATTAAAATGCTTATTGATCAATGAAAGTATAAAAAATTCTAAAGTCTGTAATGAGTACCATCAAAGGAGAAACATTACCAGTTTTGTCTTCAAAATTTTTGTTGTTTATAATAATACATTTGCCAACTTTCTTATAGTCCATATTATACTGGAATGTGGGTGTAACAATTCGGTACTGATTACTGAGAGAGGACTTCGGCTGTTCTTCTTCTCCATTCTTCTTTTTTCTAGGTGAACCAAATGAAATTATTGTTAGTTGCCAGTCACATTGCAGTGTGCCCTTTTGTCTTAATTCAGATCAGCTGGGCAGCGCTACCCAATGTTTTTTCTTCTCTAATGTTTGCTTTCTCTCTTCATATTTCAGATCAAGGCATAAAGATCTTGTGATTTCCATGAAGTGATTATTGTGTGCAGTTGGATTCTGACGATGGCAAAATGACTCTAGAGCAAACTGCAGCCAACAGTAGTGTATGCAGATCCCGACCCACAGATAAAACAAATGGCCTAAATGTGAAGTCAGGTTGGCAGTAACCTTTTGCAAAGTATGGCTCAGGACACATTTTACTTTTACTGTAAATAATTCCTGGAAGGACAGACAGATCTCCCTTAATAACTATTCCAAGCACAAGAAGATTTGCAGTTTACCCAATGGTGCGATAGGATTTGTTTATTGAATCATCGTCATCCCTAAATTCTCTGAAGATTAAGGCCAAGCAGTAGGTAGTTTCTACTGATAAAGGTTATAGATGTGAGCAAGTCATGTGTTAATTTGGTGTGCCAAACAGCAGTCTGAACCTACACAAAAAACTAAGCATGTTTTAGCGTAATCAATACCTGAACCTCACTTCAAAAAAATCACCAAAACAAAACGAGGTATAAATGTTCTCTGTTAACATGACTGTGTACTGATCTTTCTGCTATGTGCAGGAGTCCTAGATTAGATCAGAAAGCACAGACATTACTCACCAATTTATTCCAGATGAAGTACTAAGAGCAAATCAATTACAGCCAGCATGCGCACCTGAAGTATAAGCATGAGGAATTCAGCAGTACTTGCTTTTAGAGATGGACCTTTTGGTCCAAGCAAGTGGCTTCAGATGTTGCTAGGATCTCCTCAAGCAGAATAAAGCCAGTGAGAGCCTATAAAGAGTCTGATTCAACTTCAGAACTATAAACAAGCTTTGGAGCAAGCAAGCCCAGTTAGAAACAATGCTCAGGAAAGAGCAGAAGATGTTATTAGCACCTCTCTTACTTACTTGGTCCAGTATCCTGCTTCTAACAGTATTTATTGCTGATGTCTGAGAGGAAAACATAACCTACTTTCACAGCACAAATCACTGTATAATACAGTTTGTTTTTTAAAAAATTAGATTTTTCCCATAATCTCAATTAATTTAAGTACTTTCACTATTCTCACTCTGACATCTTTCTAAAAAATTACTAAGCTGTTTGCTTCAATAATAGCCTGTAGACATGAGATTGCTGCGAATTGATTAAAGATTGTTTAGGTAATCTACTTACTTATCTTCCTGATTTAACAATTGTTGTCTTTTAGCTTTACCTGTACTCTTTTTTATTACTAAAGGACAAGACTAATAGGAAACTATAACAAACTTTCTCTAGATGATTCATGGTGTTTAAATGCTACTGCAATTCAATTTTAAAACTGCTGCTTCTTATCTTTGAGTATCGGTGGGTTCTGTCATAAAAGGCCAAATTAAATAGCTGCACCTGGCAGGCTTTCTCCGTACTTTTTTTACATGTGAACATCCTAATATCATCTCCTCTCTCAGACTTCTCTTAGTGACTAAAAAACAAGATATTGAAACGTACCTACTTGAGGATTTTGTCTGACAATCTGGAAGCACAGTTTTTTCTGGCAAATTGCAAGTATTGGTATTCTCGTTGCGCGCTGCTTCTTGGGGGCTCTGGGAGCCATAATTGAATATGCTTTGCCTCAAGAAAAGATTTTAACCATTTTAAAGAATTACCCACAGCTGTATGATGTTAATATTACATTTGACTTTCAAAGAGATCTTGGATTCTTACTTTTGCCTAAAATTCCCCCTGGTCCTACATCACGAGACAGCTCTCTGGCAACGAGAGAAAAAGAAACTTCAAAACAACAAATAACTACTCAGGTCAATGAAGAGGCTAATTTCCTCAGTCCACACTGAATTCAAGTTTCTGCAGATTCATTAGCTTCACTGACTTCCTGAAATATCTGTATGACTAGCAGTGGCTGTTACACACAAGAGGATATTTTCAAGGGGATTGTACACAAATTTCTACTTATGTCCAACCCAAGAATAGCTGCGAACACTCAGGACAGATCCACATGAGCAGTATGGTAGCATGTTTGCACTATTTGCTCTCCTAAAATACTGGAAGTGATCTAATTCTAGCCCAGAAGTCACGCAGCTGCATTACCCCACAAAAAGCCCCACTGAAAATAGCAGCTGGGGTTAAGTGGCGTAATAACATAGCCATGCAACTCTGAAACCACTTCACTTCTCAATTCAATAGTTTGCACTCATTCATGCAGAAATACTTGGCAGTCTAGGGGATGTACCCTAAAGTATACCGGAAGCTCTATGCCAGTCAATATCCCACGTCACAGACAAGCTTTGTCAGCACAACAGCACACGTAACTGTTGTTTCCCCATTCCTATATAGAAGATAGTACAGTTTTGTTCCAATGATTCCTTCCAAGCCGAACTGGCTAAAGAGATCCTAAGCTACCACAGTATTCTTTGTAGGGTTACGCCTATCATTTCTTTACTGGCAGACAACAAAAAGTTCCAGAAATCTTTTGGTATCTGTCCACACTGAGCAAATAAGGAAGCAAAGGTTGTGCAGTATACATAGCTTGGGCCTGCAGTCCAGACAGAAGTTGTTTTTCAAAGATTCTGTCTTCTGTGCCAACATAGCGCAACGGTCTGACTGGACTGGACTGGACTGACAGTATAAGGTCCAGCTCTTCAATTTCAGCAAGCTAAATCAGACTTTGTAAAAATGACTAATAAAGTAATAAACATGTCATAATCTTTAAGGGAAATGCCCCGTCAGTGACAGGCTAGCTTATGACTGAAAGCATAAAGCTTTCCAGCTAAATTTTTATTTTCTGAGCTTTGAACTGGACACATGTTAATACAAATCTTTACTGCTGTTGTTCTTACTAAGCTTTCTAATCACCGTATTTTCCGAAAGGGTTTCCACAGGTTAGTTATGTGCTGTTATAAAATTGCTTCAAACGAATTGCCCTCAGTTTTATTTCATTCTGCTTCTCTGACATCCAGTGTCTTTAATTTCCCTCTTTTGGGATTCAAATTTGCACAGACTAAATAGAAACTTGAATTTTACGACTGTTTACTCTTTCTTCAGCTTTTAATCACAATCGTGCTGTAACTCCTCACTCCACTAGTGGCTACTGATCTTTCCCTTAGACAGAAATATTCTTTCTATCAGTGCTCTCACATATTTCATGTTCTCTCTCTTTGGTCAAGAGTTCATCAAAACTGAAACTCCACTCTGGCACCCTCATATAGCTTGCACGTTTTCACCCTTACTGTACCTCTAAATCCAGGCCTTAGGCTTGACAACAGTATGTCTGGGAACGTGACTTCATCAAGTCTAGACTCAGTCAGTGTCAACCCTGGGAAAATCATTACTATCAATTTCTCACTTTTCAAATACAAAATAAAACTTACCCATACAATTTATCATGCTGTTATTGAACTTTCAAATAGTAAAGGCCAAATTTTTTATCACCGTGAGTGGCTAAACTTCTGTCAAAGTCAGTGGAGATACATCACTTGGACCAGTAGTGAACCTGATTGTCTAAAGGACTGCTACTTATCACAACAAACTTTGTTTTCTGTTACACTTTGAGAGAATTATGATTTAACTACGTACAGATATCAAGATTTAAGGACAAAAATATCACTGTTAACATTTAACTATACCTGAAGATTATTTTCAATAACAAGTTTACTGAAAGCAGTGTCTCTTAGCAGCTGAGATTGCCTCTCCTTTGGTTTCCTTTCTACTGGCATCTTCCTGCATTTTCTTTGCCACCATACATTAGTATGACATACCAACATGCTAAGAATCCATATGCAGGAGAATGGCTTCCCTGAGTGTTGCAGCCTCTCGTCATCTCTCCCACCTGCTACAGCCAAGCTCTTGGACTCAGGTTTGCCAGGTCTCCAGAGCAGCAAGTGTTTCAGTGAGAACCAGCTGCTTAACTTCAAGTGTAGTGTGACGCATTTTCCATGGGGAGGGTCTTCACTTTCCATCACATTACATATTTAATGTCAGCTGTGTAGTCTGGTATTGACTACCTTTGTGCAAGGTGTAAAGGACAGTGACTGTAAAAAAAAAACTCCTCCTGTAAGAAAGCTGGTCTGCTCTAACTATATGGACTCCCCTTGGAACAGTACCAGCATAATGCAGGGAAAGTTCTCAAGAGAAGAGTGGATGAAAGGGAAACATTAAGAAGAAAGGTTAGAAACTGTCACACCAACCCATTTACCAAACCTCAGCATTGACAATGATTAAAAAGAGGATGATAGTAACTGACAGACAATAGAGCTCTTCTGAAAACATGAGCTGCTTGGCCTTAAAAGCAATGTGACACTTAGCACACAGAAGAAACAGCTCTCCCTGGAAAAGAACAGTCACTTAACTAGCCTTATGGGCAGAGGAATAGATGAACACAGACAAATTTCATGATCACCACTTCCTGTTTGTTTTTTTTTTCCTGTTTGCTTTTCTAAGAGCAATCTGATAATCAAAATGAATTCTAAAAACGATACTACAGAGGGATACCTGGGCTTTGAAAACAGCTGTACTCCCTTTCTCTCCCAGGAAAGTTTAGGGACTTTTGTTGCTGTACTGAATAATGTAAGCAGATGAAAAAAATCTACAATTATGATACTATTCAATTTAAGGAAGTTGACATTCAGAGGTGGGTGGAAAAAGCTAAACTGATTACATTAATTTCTATTTGAAGTACACACACAAGAGAAGAGAACTCTGTCTTACTCTTCCTCTATGAAGTTCAGTAAATTTGGGCTTTACTTGATAAGGAATACCACAGAACATTGTGATAGTTTTTAGTCGGGCATGCTTCTTTAATACAGTGTGCAATCGTGTCATTTTTGAATGACTGATAGCAAGTTTCTGTTAAAAAGAAAATTTGCCTCAAAAAACATGCTGTCTTTAG